GACCACACGAGGCTCGAGCTGTCTCCTGGGCAGCCCCTCACAGGAGAAGGGACGTCCCAGGTGACGCTGGGCCCTTCAGAAGGTGGGGGCTTCTCCACACCTGCTATGTGGATGGCAACACCAGTCCAGGGGCACAAGAGGCTGAGCCTCGACCCTCTTTCTAGCACCCTGGACGGTGAGCTTCAGCCAGAAGGTGGCCCCTCATGCAGCCAGGCAGAGGGGGCAGCGGCTGCCGAGGCTGGAGGGCGGGTCGGAGAGGAGGCCGTGAGGGGGGATGCCTGGAAGGAGGAGATGTGGCCTGCACCTGAGGGTCCGGCTGGACTTGGTCGGGGAGGAGACCCAGGGGCCCGGTGGGCACTGGCCGGAGCAGATGGGTGGGCACCCTCGTTGGGGGGACAGGGAGGGCCTGCCCGCCTGTCGAGGTCTTTGGGGAGGAGAAGTGGACAGCCCGGGCGCAGCGCGGAGCCCACCCTTCCGCTCGCCGGGCCTGCCTTCCAATCGCCCAATTATCCCTAAGTGCACATGATCGATCCCTGGGCGGCGGATTTTCAGCCCAGTGCGTCGATCCCCTCCGCCTGCGCTGGGCTCCATCCGATGGCCTCGTTAGGATTAATTGCGCTGGCATTTGGGTCTGACAGGGCGGCAGATGTGGTCGCGTGTCAGGGTGTCACAGTCCTTCCAGCCTGGGGGCCGGGAAGGGTGCCTCTATGCAAGCCCGGGAAAGACCCTGAAGACCCCGGGGGGCGGCCAGGGACCACGGGGGCCTGGGGACAGCCCGGGGCATGACATCCAAGCTCTCACAGAGGGCCCGCGGTGACCGTGCAGGCCTGTGTCCCAAGGGTGGGGAACCTAGCCAGGCCCTGGGCTTTGCAGGGGGCTCCTCTGGAAACCAAGTGCCCCAGGCCCCAGGGGGCAGCGTGTTCTCCAGCGAGTGTATGCACGTGTGGTGTGTGCACGTGTCATATGCATGTGTGCTTACATGTGTGCGTCATGCATTGCACGTGTGTTTGCCCCCCGCCGGGGAGCGGGCACCCCTGCCAGGGCCAGGCGCGCTGTCATTACAGGTGATTAAGCCTCACGCAGAGCGGGGCTGTGGCTGCTCAGTGCCTCCCAATGCCACCATGTGATTACGCCCGTGGCTGTGAGGGAAGGCGCTGCGGACAGGGGGTGTTCCCAGGGGCCGGAGGGCCACCATGCAGGGTGGCAGGGCTGGCCGAGCCCACCTGACCTGGGGCCAGTGGGGGCCACAGGGCTGCTCAGACCCCATGGGGCACCCCACCGCAGTCACCACCTTGTCGCCGATATTGCCACTTGCGCCAGCCCCCCCACTGGCCCGACCTCCACAGCCCACCTTTGTGGGGCCGGCCTCAGCTCCTCCCCCTCCCAGGCATCACTGTGCTGCCCCAGGGGTCTGTGAAAGGCCTGAGTCCTGGGAGTCGGGACCCCTGGGCTCACCGCGTGACCAGAGAAGGCTCACCCCCGAGCCTCCGTTCTCCTCTTTGTGGAATGGGCCCTCGAACACCCCAGTGATCTGAGAGCAAATGCCCAGAGGTGCCACTCAGTGCCATTCTGCAGGTGCCAGGCTCTGCAGAGACGAGGGGCCAACCGCATGCTCCCCGACCTAGGTCCGGCACGGAGGGGGTCTCATCCTGGGACACTCTGGTGCCCCACCAGGCCTTTGTGGGGGCCTGAGGAGGGACAGGTAGGAGGCGGGGCACCAACACAGGGCATGGCTCGAGCCTGGAGGTCCAGGCTGCCAGGGGGACCCTTGGGCCGGGAGAGTGGGTACTGACCAGGACAGGCTTCTGGGGTACCCACGGGCCCCTCACCCCCTGGGGTGGGGGTGGAGCACTGACAGCAGGAGTCGGGGCCAGGCCTAGGGTCAGGGGGCAGTTCTATGCCCAGAGGCCAGAGGCAGCCTCGGACTCCAGCCAGGCCCAGCAGAGGGCTGGCATGTAGGAAGTTGCCCAGGGAGGGACAGGTGGGAGGCGGATGCCTCACTGGGGGGTGAGGCTGAGGCGGAGTGGGGGCAGGCTCCGAGAACAGCACTCGCCCCCACAGGGGTCCCGGGGCCTCCTGGCCTCAGCGTCCTGCCTGGGGAGAGCCTGGGCCCGCGGAAGAGTCTGGAAAGCTTGGCTTACCATAAAGCGTCCATGTGAGTGTGGCCGGCCCCGGCAGGAAAACGAATTAAAAAACAATATTTGTATCCGTGGAAGACATTTGCTGAAAGGTTAAATCCACATCCGGCTGTGAGACGGGATGCCCCTGTGTGGCATTTGTCAGACATGTCAGCCATCCTGGCCCTGCCACCTGCACACTCTGGCAGGGCTGGGTGGGGCTGGGGCCACAGAGGCCGGGGTGGGGGGCAGGATCTGCCAGACCCCTGCAGCCCACCCTGGGATGGGCAGCAGCTTTGGGGGGAGTCAGGGAGCCCGTCCGGAGCTTCTGCAGAACTGGATGCTGGGCGTGGAGGCCGGGCCGCCCCGGAGACTGCAGGCTGGGCAGCAGACGGTCACAGGCTTCTGGGTGAGGCCACTGGGGTAGACGCAGCCCTGCTTCCAGGCTGGGTTCTCAGAGGCAAATTCTTCCAATGCCAGCTGAGCATGCATCCCGGGCCCGCTGTCAGCGAGACCGCAGAGGCCAAGGCCTCTGGACTCCTGCTCTGGAAGGGAACAGAGTCTAGAAGACGAGATGGGGCCAGGGCGGATGCTGGGAGACAGCAGCGGGCCAAGCCAGCAGGGCTCCTGCCCCCAGGGAGGTTGCGAGGAGGAACAAGCAACAGAGCGGGAGGCATTACCATGACAGCAAGGAAGAGCAGGCACTGCAGATGGCATGGTGACTGAGCTGGGTTTTGTGGGATGCTCAGGAGCTCCCCGGGACAAGAAGGTGGGTGAGAAATGACATTTCAAACCAAACCCTCTTGCGAAGGGTGGGGTGAGCACAGCAGCAGGGACAGGGTGGAGAGGGTCTTTCCTCTGCACCGATAGCATGCAGCTTTCCAGAGGGTCTCCAGGAGCCACTGAGGGTTGTGGATCAGGGGATGACACGGCCAAACCACTTGCAGGGAAGGTCCTGGGGCCATAGGGATGGAGCACTGATGGCAGGGGGGCAGGGCCAGGGCTAGGGTCAGGGGGAGAGGGAGAATGGGTCCAGCTGCTGTCACGGACAGAGCAGGCAGCTCCCGGGGCTCTGAGAGTCGCCAGGAAGTGGGCTGGGCTCACACAGTGCCCTGGCTGGGCCGACCCCAGGAGGCCCAACAGACACGGCAAGCCCAACCATCCCGGAAGACACGCCCCCTCTGGAAGGGACCATGGTGATGGACACTCTGTGGCATGCTATGTGCCCCAGGGCGGGCCTTCTCTGTCCCCAGGGTGGGCTCCAGCCTTAGCCATCTACGCTGACCCCACAGCGCCCAGAGGGTCGAGGAGGCCCCTTCCCGGAGTCTCTCTTTATGAGGAAGGATGCCTTTCCCGGAAGGATTGGAAGTCGCCCGGTGCTGCTTACCAGCCATCACTGGCAAGAAGGCAAGGCCAGCTCGGCTCGGTGGCTCAGCCTGTAATCCCGCGCCTTGGGAGGCCAAGGTGAGGGGATGGCCTGAGCCCGCAGGTTCGAGACCCGCCTGGGCAACTTGGCGAGACCTCATCTCTACAATAAATCAAAAGTCAGCCAGGGATGGTAGCGCGCGCCTGTAGTTCCAGCTACTTGGAAGGCTGAGGCGGTAGGATCGCTGGAGCCCGGCGGGTGGAACCTGCGGTGGCCGGGAGCGGCCACTGCACTCCAGTCTGGGCGACAAAGTGAGATTCCAACTCAAAAAAAAAAAAGAAGGCAAGGCCCCCGGATGAAGGCTTCCACCTAGACAGAAGGGGCTGTCACATGTCACTGCGGCCCCTATGTCCCCGCCGCCCGGTCTCCTGGGGAGGGGCCGACCTCAGGGTGAAATGCTGGCCCCAGGCTGGGAGGAAGATGTGGCAAGGACGTCATGCCCAGGGCAAGATCATCGTGCCTGGGACGGGCAGCGGGCACGCAGCTGGTTGAGGGACTCAGAAGACACCCTGGGCTGGGGATGCCCTCGAGAGAGAGTCCCCAGATGTGGCAGGAGGGCTGGTCACCCCCAAGCAGCACTGTCCCAGGCGCCGGCGGGGAGAGAGGCAGCCGGGGGCTCTCAGAGGGGGAGGACTGTGGGGACCCTCAGCCCCGAGGGAAGGGGTGGCCCCGGAAGGACAAGAGTTCTGGCACCTTCGGGTGGGCCGTGGGAAGGCTGGGCAGGGCGGGTGGGGGTGTCCCCAGGCTGCAATCGAGGAGATGAGCCCACATGGGAAAGGGGGCTTTCCAAAAAAAGACCTCCCTTTCCGAAGTTCTCCCGGTGTCCTCCAACCCGGAGGGGTGCACCTTCTGAAACATTCTGGGCACCTCTGAACATGCCTGGGGAATCGGTGTGTAGAGGGCGGGGGCTGCAGGCGCAGGACACTCCAGCTGACCGCATCTAAGTCTGGGAGATTGGGAGACGTGAGGAATATTCTGGAGATGCAAATAAAACAGCCTCTTCACACCGGAGGCTGGAGGCTGGATTCCCTCTTGGGACTCCCTGGGTCCATCCGCCACCAAGGCCCAGTAGCCGTCAACATGTGCCCCCAGGGTCGCCCGGAACAGCCCTCCCCGCATGCCCCCTCGAGGGCCGGGGGGCTCAGGGGTCCCCGGCTGTCTGCAGCCGTCTGCCGAGCGTGAACCGGCTTCGGCCCTGCCTCGGGGCTGAAGATGATTCAGACAGGCTGGGCAGACCCGCTCGGTGCCTGCGACACCGGCTGCAATTAGATTTAATGGACGGAGGCCACCTCCTGCTCCCTCCTCACCCACCTCCGCCTCCCTCCGGCACAGTGGCGGGG